AAAAGAGTTATTTGCCATCGGATTCTCATACAAACACTGTAATTTCTGACCTCTTTGCCTACCCAGCAAGATGGCATTGAAAACCATGATTACACCTATTTTGTATACGTAGCTAAGGTCTGCTAATGCAAATACGAAGGATCCATGCATTACAAGAGACACAATCCATAGGCATACATGACGTACTCAATGCTCAAGGGTTAGCAATGTATTATAGGGAGAATGAGAGAATCCTTTACAGCAAAGCAAAAGTAAAAGGATGGATGACTTCTTTTCTTATGTTCAATATTTTAGAAGCAAAGATCTTTCAATATGATTTTCTGGAAGGAAATAATGTGTGAGAAAATAACCATTATTGATTGTCAACATAGAGAATGTAGTCACCATTATGGTGACTAAACCAGAATTTTTTGGCTGCCAGAGATGAAATGTTAGTCCCACTGGTGACCGTATCAGTTACAATCTCGAGCCCTGCAGTCATACATGAGTCATACATGTAGTCTTACATGAGATATAAACCACTGACTTAAAATGAGGCAAGAGTAGTTCGCTCGTTCGTGATTTTTGTTTTCTTTCTAAGTTTTCAGCTGAATTTCAGATGACTTTAAGCTCGGAAAGGTAGTGCAAGGGTATAGAAAACTTGTAAAACTTGAAGACTGTTTGACATGTACATTTTTTATCTCAAAAAGTCATATTCATCTCAAGAGCAGCTTGTGAGTTCAGAATTAGTAGACGGTGATTTTTGCCGGTGCTTACGGAGAACACTGTCTCAGGTTAGACTAGATGATATGCCTATGACCTAAAAATGTCTTTCTCATAGTGGTGACCAAAATTTAATTATTAACATCTAGGATATGATGATTTTTGGCATTAAGAAGTGTTTCATGTGTCTGATAAAGAAACCCCAAAATAAGTCTGTCTTTTTTGGTCGGGTCTCTGAAAATGCTAAGTGTTGCCTACGACAAAACATTCTCTGTCGTCCTCAAATTTTCGGAAGAAATCTGAACTCCTATTTCTCCAAGAAAGATCGTTAAGAAGATTAGGATAGAGATAATGTAGCTGGCACTTGCCTTCAACTAAGCTTACCCAAGTTCACTTCCAGCTGTGTGCCAGCCCAGTGGCGTGAGTTTTTTATTGGTTAACATGCCTTTCTGTGCAGAAACTTGTCTGAGTAATCAAATCCCTTCTCAAAAATGAAGATTTTTTAAATTTCAGTTTGATGCAGATGGTGAGCCATGAAGGGACCACCTTCTCTATGTTCCTCTCTAAACAGCAAAACATCTGTGTACATGATAATGTAACTCTTTGTTTTTCAGTGTATGAGGGTGGTGCTTGTTTTTCACCTGATGTGTTGGACATTACCACTGAAGATATTATGTCTCGTTTTGTTGAGGTATGTCAGACTTGATAACAGTCAATTTGCTATAAAATAGTGTTGTGTTGCGAGTGGTCTAGCACTACTAATTACAAGGATAAAAATTCTATTCTATTTGTCATCATTGTTGGATTGTTGTTTTTGTGCAAAATGGTATTGTAAATTGACATAATAAATAATAATAATAATAATAATAATAATAATAATAATAACAAATATAATAATAATATTTATTAACCTGTATTGCGCCAATATCAATATGAAATTTTCATTGTCGCAAACTCAATTACCTAATCAAATACTAAATTACCAAAATATCTAAATAATCTAACAGTTATTGAAAACAAAGTAATAAAAATCCCAGTAGTAAAATATACATATTAAGTCTAGTACTAACTACTTAATAACCGAGAGTGAGGTCGTTACGGGAAAATCTCAAACTGAGGTCTTGCCGTATTGACTGAGCGATAGCGAGGTCAATACGG